ATAATTGTGACCATTTTAGAAGCAACTTTAAATAATTTACATTCAATCTATGCTCCAAAATAATATATATTTTTTTAAAAAGTGCTGTAGCAACTGGCTGTTTATGTCACTTTAACTTTTATTTTATCAATCAGAAATTTGATTTGATAAACCAGGTGATATACTGTAACACTGTGGGGTTTCCTCACAATAAAATGTGATACTGTGACCTCCCTACTTACTACTAAAATACTGTTTAAAGTAGGTTGATTAGTGTAAAATGTTCAATGTTCATGTGCACCTAGAAGTTAATGTAAAGGTGCACTATGTAACTTTTTGGTTGTAGGTCTGTCACCTGCTTGTTTCTATGGATATGTCATTGCTCTACCTGAAATATTCCAAAGTTTCTACATTTCTTCAATTACATATGGTTTTACAGCTCCAAAATACCTAGAAAAACTGGAACTCTCCAAAGATCTGATCTTTAACTTGGTCTGATTTGGTCTCCATGAAGATAGATGGTTTTTATGCCATACTATGAAACATTTCAGACAAAGCACATTACATAACATAACATCTCTATAGAGAAAAGCATTTGACGGACCCACCAGAAAAGAAAAAGTTACACAATGCACCTTTAACAATGTACCCTTTGTCAGAGGGAACTGAAAACCTCATAGTAGTCGGTAGCTTATATAACTTATTTGTTGCTGATATTGGTAGCTATGCAAAATCACACAACCAGTAAGAAATGAAAGTGCCTGTGGAAACTTCTGAATAAGGTATTAAAAGGGAAATGCTTATTGACAAGGCAGTTTAAAACCCATTTGCTAATGTGATGCACTACTTGAAATCTAAAACCCTCTAGATTCAGAAGATGTATACTAAAAAGTGTGTGAGTGAAGCATAACTGTAAGCAAATGTTAAAAGAACAGATGTCTTAATATCTTTTTCACAGTATAATTTGGGTTGCCAGTTTCAGTGCTGAAATTCAGATGGTTTAAATGTAAAATGCCTCTCTCTGATCAGAATCCTCACTACTTAAACCCCAGCACCTACAGCCAATCATTAATCTAGAGCCTGAGGCTCCAATAGGCGGAATGTGGGCCAACTCTGGACCCCGAGGGGATCTGTACTGGCCCACAAGACCCCTACCACAATATGAAAGAGGTACTTTAGATACATAAGCTGCAAACATTGTTCAGGGCCAAACTTATGGAGTAAGAAAGCTGTCAAAAATATTTGTGCGCATAAAATAGAAATCCGTGCGTATTTGGGAAATCCATGCATATTTGGCTGTAGTTGTGCATAAAATAAATATTTGTAAACTCTCAAATGAGTCCAGTCGTACATAAAATATATTGTGTGTATTTTATCCATCAGAATATGAATTGAAAAATTACGACATCATGAATTACAATCACGAAATGAAAATTTACGATTACGCTTTCATCAGTACGAATACGAATTCACAGACGGAACTTTACTGTCAAAAATACGTCATCACTTCACAGACATTATTTATCGAGCAGAAGAAACATCGATCAAGATCAAGACTGCGCATGCTCAAGTTTGTAGCAGAGGGTAAAAACAGAGTAATAGCACAAGAAGCTACAACAACGACCAACAAGTGGGTTAATTAAAATCTATTGTAAAAATGTCTTGAATTCGGGAACCGAACGCTGCTGTATAATATTGTGTAGAAACACCTCCTTTGAACGGGAAATTGCACCTATATGTTAGATAACATAGTGGAGCCAGTTGGCTAACATCCGACGTAACGTTATCCCAGGGCTAATTAACAAATATCAGGTTCTCTGTATGTTTAGATATTAAACATTCACGGCTACAGCCACAGCGAGCATCAGTCAGTCTTCACTTCAGCTGCATTTTTGACAGCTTTCTTTACTCCATACAAACTCCCTCATCAGCTCTAGATGTAAAACTGTCCACTAGGTAATATGAGCTTATATTACACCCCTCTCGGCACACAGTTCTTAGTGAGGGTTGCGCATTTTGATAAACCAAACCTTCCATTCATCAAGTAAGCAGGGAGTAAATAGAAATTCTATTAATCTTGTTTCTATTTATCATGTATTTAAAATGTATTTAAGACAAATACATACACACCATAAGTAATAAATGCACATTGCAGGTGTTTAAATAATTACATTTTACAAAGTATTATATTTACTCAACCAATAAAACATATCAGTTTGATCATGTGACTTAAGACTTGCATTTCACAAGGCAGTAAAATTTGATAGCCTTTCCCAGCGGAGTGTAATGAAGTAGTAATGAAGTAGTACTACTGTTACATAATGAGATGCATATTTCAGTACTATGTTATGCAGTCATTCTGTCACAATGCCATTGGTCAAGTGGTAGCATGTTTGTTGCAGCTGATCATGGTGCGATATAAGATTGAGACTTCGACATTATAATATTATCTGCATAAAACAGTTGTGTGGAGGATAAACTGATGCTGAAATGCACATTTAAACATGTTATATTATATTATGAAGTATAGCTACTGTCCCTATGCTTGCTTGATTACTTATTAGGCTTTTATTTACTCAGTTTACTCAGTTGATTTGTGTAACTAACAAATAGACAATTGTTGATCGCTCTTTTGTTCACCAGCTTGGACTACCCATGGACTTGACCACAGACATATGACACTAATGTAAAGAAGAAGAAGCAGAAGCTCTAAGAAATGCAATGTGGACAGAGAAAATCACCAGTTCAACTGTGAATGGACAAAGGAGTTTTGTTTTATTTGGCTTGAGCACGGTATTGAGCCTACGTGTTTGATTTGTTTGCAGACTGTTCAACACTACTCACGCTTTAATGCCACTTACCCAGAAAAAAATGAAAAGCGCAAACAACGCATATCAGATATGAAAGCATCATACATTCAGTCAGTGCGCACGAGAATGAGAAAAACCTGTATACGTCCTCTGTTCACAGTATTCCTTCCTGCCCACTTCTGTCTCTAAATGCTCCTAAACTGCGCTTTCTTGTGGTGGCACTTCCAGTTATACAAGAATCCCATTCATATCAATAGCAAGTTTGAGAAACGTTTTTGAGAAAAGATTAAATATGACTTGAAGTGTGTTCATTTGTGAAGTCAAGTCATCACTGTACCGATTTTCTCTGGGAGGCTTTAAAACAGCTTTATAGTCCGTACTGTACATATTTGGTCTTAGGACCGGGAGCCCCATACAAAATAATACAACCTGAATGACAATGGCAGCACGCATGGCAACTTCCAGAATAAGGTGAATATGTAGGTTATGGCACCAGCAACCCACGTTCAGTTGTGATTATAGTACCCTTTTAAGAGTAAGACTGCAGGCTAAATACTGTCCCTTTAAGAGTGAAATGCACTGATGAAATTCCACCATTATCCCCAGTCGCCCTGTTACCTTTCTCTGCAGCACTGTGATCAAACTTTTTCTAGGTCTACAGCACATGTACCTGTTCTGAGTGCACCCTGAGGCAAGGCCTGTCCTTGTTAAGTGCAGCAGGTCTCGGGGTAGTGCTGTCACACACAGGTGCACACGGTGATGCTATTCATGTGTGTCCCATTTGTGTGCGACACATTCACACACGCAGCATTCACACATACACTGTCGCCATGAGCTCTACAACACAGGAAACATATTAGCTACACCTGTGCTGTTCCCACGGCAACAAGAAAACAAAGAGTGCAGTCATTAGACACAACAAACAAGCAATGAATCTGAAATCACCCACTACAGCACATGCCCATGATAATGACAAATCCACTCATTAACCAGAGTGAATCCACAGGTGCAGGCAACATGGGCAAAAGAATAACTGGTGGTAAAAATAAGCTAAGATAAAATATGATTCATCTACAGTATTTAATTGGAAACAAAATTTTTGGTTCCATTTACCACAATGTTAACTAAAATTTCAAAGTGATCCAGAATCCAGGATTTCTTCCGGATCACTCCCAAAATGAAATAAGTTCTTCCTTTTCACATTTCCAACAAATCCTGAAAATTTCATCAAATCCATCCATAACCTTTTGAGTTATGTTGCTAACAGACAAACAAACAAACAAACAAACAAACAGACAAACGCTGGCAAAAACATAACCTCCTTGGCGGAGGTAATAACAGATAATGATTTGTTGGGGTTTTTTTTAGTTTTCGATTTTGTGTTTAAATGAATAATGGAAAAAAAAACAGATAATGGCTATTTCCGTGACTTAAACTGTGATGCCGGACTTTTGCGCCACATACAGACTAAACAAGGACTGATCCCAGGCCTAAAATAGGGTTAAATCAGCCTCAGTCGTAGTGTGGTCCCGGTCTGGTCCTGGCCTCAGTCCTGATCACCCAGCAGTCTACACGGGTGCACCTCCAGGCCTGTTCCGACACTCAGTACTGGTTTAGTCCAGATTTAGTCCTGGTTTAGACCTGGTTTAAACCTGGTTTAGACCTGGTTTGGACCTGTTTTAGTCCTGTTTTAGTCCTGGTTCAGTCCGTATGCGGTGCAAAAGTCCGGCATCACAGTTTAAGTTTCAGAAACAGGAAATGGTTTAAAGTCATGTTTTACAAGAAAGGACATATCATCCTGTGTTTTGGAATCAGTATATATCGTGGTATGTATCGTATCACCAGATTCATGGCAATGTACACCCCTATGAATAATAATAACGCAATAATTCAATCTTATTTTTGGTGTTAACATGCACAAAATAAATCAAAAACACTTGGTGACATGTGTCAGTTAATCAACGAGTTTTAGTATAACTAAAGACAAAGTACAATGATTTTGAAATCTTTAACATTTTCCACATTAGTTTGCATAATTTTCCCTTTTTCAAAAGTCCAGGTCTGAACGATCACAAAGAAATCAGTTTACTCACACCAGACTGTTTACATGACATTTCAAGAATACTCCTGACATCCGATGTACGTGAAAACATAGCTGCTGAAACTGCACAAAACTTCCCTTTGTAAATGCTTTATGATGCAGATCCGTACCTGGCACTAGTGTCTGTGTGCTCAGCCCCAGAGGAGACATCCCCAGGTTGTTCATGGCTGTGGCCCAGGCGCTGGGGTCTGACATGGGCATAGGCATCGAGCCGGACTCCATGGGGAGGTTGTGGATCACTTCTGCTGAGAGAAAGAAGAGAACAAGTTTTAAGTCCAAGAAAGAAATACCACAGTCTGTTTTGCTTGTGAGTCTATCAAATTAGGAGGAATTGCACTTTTACTTACCCAAACAGCAAAATTGCCTAAGTAATTTATTATTTTTTTTAAAGATTTTTGTCAATAAGATGACTGGGGCTACAGATCCGAAGGTTGGTGGTTCGAATCCCGCTCTCTCTTTAAACAGCATTGTTAGAACGGTCAGATCTACTGACCCACAGGTTGGTTTTAGCTTCCATGAATGAATGCTTGTTGTTGTGTCCTTGGGCAAAACACAAAGCACAACCCATCTCACCCCCAGTACCTGTGCACACTGTATGAATGTGTGTGAGAATGGGTGAGTAGTTTCTGGATGTAAAGTGCTTTGAGTGCCTTGAAAGTGGAAAAACTAGATATAAAATGTGCCCATTTTCCATGGCAATAAAACTTTCTAACTGGCCAAGGACGAAGCCAATGACACCTATAGACGCATTCGGGTCTGGAGCATAAACAGAGACAGAAAACTAACTTTGGCCAAAAATGACTGGCAGTTACACTATGAGCTCTGAAATGTTGGATATCATTACACCTTTAAACCAGTCCACCTTTAAGTCAACATAAATATAACTTCTTCACGCTTTCTCACACTTCATTCTCCACCCCTCCTCCCCCTCTCCCTCAGAGCTGCTGTTGCTGCCCTCTTCTCTCCCTGATGCCAAAGACAACAGCAGTGCTAATAATAAGAGGCCCAGCTCCTGCACACAGCTCACAGTCTCAGGCTCCTCCTATGTCTGCAAAACACTGAGTCTTTCCTTTCAGGCTCATGTGATAATGCTTTTACTTCTCTGAGAGGATATTTCCAGAGTGGTGCTGAAGCGGATTGTTAATTAGACGACAATATTAACTGAGCCACTTCAGAAGAGTCAACAGGACAAGAGCAGATTTTGCTATTTTCTGGCAAAAACTCTAACTTATTTTGTATTGTGTTATTTGCAGTAGTTTACAGTAACATAGTAAAAAAAAATAAAAGTACAATAATCAAGCACAGTTTTTACATATACATACTTTACTTATATGTACATTTTACAGTGGATACTTTGTACTTTTTTTTACTTCACTATATTTGAGAGCATGCATCTGTACTTTCTACTCCACTACATTTTAGATGCACTGAAAAGTAAAAAGTACTTTTCTTTATGGTTAAAGACCCATTGAAGATAATTATTTTTTAGCTAATTTAATTTGAGTCTCTGCCCCAACTTTGAGTTAACCAAATACACAAAAACATCCAGGAAAATTAAGAACTGAATTTAATCACTTATCAGCTACATTCTTTATCAAAATTACTACACTTCACCCTTTAACTCTTCTAAAAATCTCTGCAAAAAACAAAAGAGAACTTCAGAGGAACTAAACGTCACTTCAATAGTAACCCCCGACTGTGCTCCTCCTCTGGACAGATGTGAGTCTGTCCAGGTGCAGATGACAGGACACAAGAGACAGTGTCAGTATCTTTGAGGAGAGGAAAGTCTGAACTGTAAGAAAAACAGCCCAGGACAAAGTGAAGGTCCAAGTCCAGCATCTGCTAAAGATGCAGGCTCAGCGAGAGGTCCAGACGGTCTGCAAGAACCTCCAGGACAAAATCACTGAGACAGTGATGAGGAAAGTCCTAAGGATCAACATGAAAAGCACCAGGATCAAATCCAACTTTAGACCAGGAGAAAGTCCTGGACAAAATCACAGACCAAAACATGAAGGACAAGAGCAACATTGTGGAGAGGGGGATCATCTGGAGAATCCTGGAAAATCTCCAAGATCGCCAAGACCAGGACAGATCCCAGGACATGGTCCAGACTCAGGACAAAGTCCTGGTTGAAGTCCAGTGTGAGGTCCACAGCAAAGTCTTGGAGGAGGATGAAGTTGAGATCAAGCGCCAAGAGCAGATTCCACTCCACAACAAAGGTGGAGACAACATGGAGATGGACAAAGTCCAAGAGAAAACAGAGATCCAAGTCCAGGACACAGTCCAGGAGAAATTCCAGGAGGAAATGGCGGGTGTAAACCAGGGTCAGGTCAAGCATCCCCCAAGTGTTACCGCCTCATGTTTTACCCTCACACTGCTCAACAAATCCAAGAAATCCTGCACCATTAAGGAGAAGTGGATCTGTGCAGACGTCAGAGGCACATGGGGTTTTACTCATGTAATGCAGCAAAATACTGGTTTTCTCTGAACACCAAATTACATTAAACTATGCAATCTATATACATGATTAATATAACTGTTTAATGATATAAATTAGTACTTTGACATTAAAGACGCTATCCCTTCTCACCCCACTCTCTGATCTACTCTCTGACTGGATACACAAACGATATTTTTCCTACATTTGGAAATAACAGCATCAATACCAATTCCATGTTAAACACTTTGGAATCTTTACGTAGCTTTAACTCTTTTGGTTTGTTCCATTCCCTAGTTGTGAAAGAGAATACTGATTGGCCTAGTGCTGTTTTTCTTTGGTATCCTAACACTGGCCAATTGCATGTTGACTTGTTGTTCTGGTCATTTGTTCAGATGTGATGTCAGAATTTGATTACATTGTCTTGGTTTTCTTTTGAGAATCCTAAGTGCTTGTTTGTGGACTAATTCAACGTGTAATAATGTTTTGGCTTATTGGGTTTTCAGTGAGTTTCAACTGAAATTAAACAAATTACACTATATACAAACTGGATCAAAAACCTCAACTCTATTAACTAATGCCAATGACTAAAGCCGTAGTCACAGAAGGGCACACTGGGGCATGCACATTTAGTACAACGATTTAGATTATGCAATCTAGCTTTTTTTGATTTTCCAAGTCATTTATTCTAAAATCACAAAGACAATAACCAATACCAGTACCTTGATTTGCACAGGTATTTTCCTTCAAACAGTAAAAAAAAAAAAAATAATAATAATTAAATTAAAAATAAAGGGACTGCAAGTTTAAAACTGGCCTAACTGTGTCTCCAGATATGAGGTAAACATGTTCAAATCAAAATGGACATAAAGACCTTTTTAATGTTACAATAGTTTCAAGAGGATTACTATTATCCAAGCAGAAAGTAGCATGAGCCTCAGCTTGAGCGCATTTTTGCATTGCCAGTTTCAATATTGAAATCCAGTTGGTTTAAATCTAAAATGTCTCTCTCTGATCTGAATGGTCACTACCTAAATCCCAGTCCCTGGAGCCAGTCACGAATCAGTGCTAGTGCAGCCTCTGTAGTATGTCTACTTAACCAACAGAGCAACAGAGTATGAGTAGAACATGTTTTACAAACTATTAGCAAAGAGTTAGTGTCTCAATTGTTTGGAGTCCTTAGAGCTGACAGGATCAATGGACCAGAGTAGCAGACATAACACACTTCTACTGTAATTGGTTTCACTTCTCACAAATATGACTTCAGCTGCCACTTCTCTTCTGACGTGAAGTGGTTCAAGCAAGTTTGTACTAAGATACAATTTGGGAGAAAGACTTAAAGCAGTTTTATGCAAGCTTAAAAATACATTGTCTGCCAAGAACTTGTTAGAGAGTCCCCCCAGTCTGTTATCCCTAGTGCAGGTCTGTCGGTCTGTCTTCCAGTAATCAGGAAGTGCATTACTAACATGCCAACTGTTGCTAATTGTTTCCAACACAGTAAGAAAGTTGTGAAAAGCGCTTATAAACTCATCTCGCTGAATAACTATAATCTGACTGCATGAAGTAAGTGAGAAATAACTTTGACCCACTGCCAACTATTTAATATTAAACCTATTGGTTAGGGGTCACCTGCTTGTTTCTATGGACATGTCATTGTTCTGCCTAGAATGTTCCACAATATGACATTAAACAGCTCTGCATTATCTATCATACACCTTTTCAATTACACATGGTTTTATAGCTCAAAAATAAAATACCTAGAAAAACAGGCTGACTTTTCTTGGAGTGGGGATTGTCTTTCCACAGATCTGACCTGTAACTTGGTCTGCTTTGGTGTCCTTGAAGACAGAAAGATTTAATAGCATACAAATGAATAACAGCTCCATGGAGAAAGATATTTGACGGTCCCTCCACTATAAAAGTTATGCCCCACAAACACTCCGCGATATTTTCGATCATTTCACTCAGCCCCAGGTCAAACTGTACGACCAAATCACAGGTTTTAAAAGGTCACAGCTTGTGGAATGACTTCAACAGAGCGAAACCCTCACGAGATGCGACTGGATTTCAAACAGGTTTGATATTCTTGCCACCTACGATTTCCAATGGGGAGCTGGTCGTGAGGTATTAATCAGCTCTTGTTATCCCATGTATACTACACGAAGCCCGACACACGATTAAGCCAAAACTCGGCCCGATCCCAAAAACTGTCGCACAAGTGAAAAATCAGCTCAAAAGGGCCAAAAATCACACAGTGTATACCTGGCTTTACACTGTGTACCTTTATCTTTAACTAACTCATGAACATCATATAAATTAAGACACAGCACCATTTTAATTTGGAACAAACAAATAGTGGAAAGTCATTGATTATCAGAAGCTGTGGGAGTGCTGTGTATAACCAAAACTCTACTCGTATAAAGATATGAAGGGAAACGAACAAGTGGAGCAACCAACACCAGGGCCTGTTCGGTGAAGTGTTGCCAGCAGAGGAGGGATAATGAGCAGCCTTGGGCAAAGGGAACACATGGAGAGAGTCCAGATTTGGAAGGAAAACAAAACCTATGATCGGAATAATGCTTTAGTCTTTAGTCAGGAGCCTGTTCACCTCGATGGGAACAGATGCACGGTGTAATTGTTCCCACGTGTGATGACAAGAGGCTGGGATTAAGGCAGAAAATCTTCGGAGGTGTTAGAGGATTTTATATGGTTGTTAAAAAGACAGTGGTATGTGTTTCCAAATGTGTTTGAATGGTCGACGGGAATGATTTACACTATATTTGTTGCTTGTACAGGAAAT